ACTGAGGAGGCCCAAGCAGGAGGATTGTTGTGAGTTCAGGACCAGTTTGGGCTGGTATAGTAAGTTCAAAGCCAGCCTGAACAGTAAGACTGTCTAAAAAAAAAAAAAAAACAATTAACAGGTAAAAACATATTTGTTAGTTCGTATTGGTGCTAAGATATGAACTCAGGGCCTTACATATCTAGGCAAGCATTCTTCCACTGAGCTACATCTCTATCCCTATTAAAGAGATGTCTGTATACTCATGTTCATGACATTATTCTTAACAGCCAAGGGGACAGCAACTCAAGTGTCTGTGGAGAGATGAATGGATAACCAAAATGCAGTATATAAAAATAATGGAATGAATACTTTCAGCCTTTACAAGGAAGAAAGTTGAAATGGGGATGTAGCTCACTGGTAGATACTTGCCTAGCATGTACAAGGCCCTGAGTTTGATCCCCAGCACACACACACACACACACACACACACACACACACAAAATAGCATAGATACACAGCTACTTTCTCTTAGTTCAATGAAAAGAAAGTTTTGATAGTGTTTAGACAAGATATCATGTCTGCATCTTGTACTACGAATAACTACTACAAAGACAATATGCAATGTATTAATTACTGTAACTGTCCTACTAATCTGTTTTGAAACTGTCTCATTGCTACTTCTCAATAAAATTATTTTTAAAAATAAAAAAAAAATTCATGGAGATGGAAAACAAAATGCTAGTTTCTACTGGCTGGGGAGACAGTATTTAATGGATATATAATTTCTGTTTTGCAAAATTAAAAAATTTTTTAAAACTTGCTGCACAACAACATGCACATAGTTTACATTAACTGTATACTCAAAAATGGTTAGGAATGTAAATTTTATACTACTTAACCACTATTTTAAAAAATATTCATGCTGGGGCCGGGGAGATAGCTCAGTGGAATAAGCGCTTCCCTGGCAAGCGCAAGGGCCTGAGTTCAATCCCCGGTTCCGCAAAAAAAAAAAAATGTTCATGCTTATATATGCAAAAAAGCAAAACAAAACACAAATATAACTAGAGTACTAAAAGTCTTCCTTTCTTCTGAGAATAATTTGAGGGGGTATGTAATTGTATATTTGGTCTTCTTTCTTTTACCATAAAGATTTTTTCTTTTTTTCTTTTTCTTTTTCCTTTTTTTTTCCTGTGGAACCGGGGATTGAACTCAGGCCCATTCAACTGAGCTATCTCCCCGGCCCCAAGATATTTCTAAAGTGTTTGAAACACACTGTTCAAAATCAAGCTCACCCTCTTGCCTGCCAAACTCCTTTCCTGTAATTTTTAAATGAAAAACCCAGTCATCCCTGATTCTTCACTCTTCTTCCTCAAGTGCAATCATTACAATCTCCTGTTCACCTGTTAATCTCTTTGGCCCCTCCCACCACCATCACTACCCCAGTGCTCCCAACCTGCTCCCCTTCCAGAAGGAACTATGTTACAAATCCAATCACATCAGTCTTTTCATTAGGACTGATTTCCAATCCCAACTGTTTTTCAAATAAAAATGGTCTATGAACCTCTACAAGGTACAACCCTTAAGGGCATTTATCTCATGTCCTTCTCCCACCCATATATTCTCTTCTGTATCCCATTCCTTCCACCTAAATGTACTCATTCCCTTGACGGCCATTATCATTTCTTTCAAGATGTCTTCCCTATCTTAACACCTTCTATAGTCCGTTATATGCTCTCCTAGGTTATACATTCCTATACCTCACAGCGATTATCTTTCACAGTAAAAATATGAGTGATTTCACTTGCTGGCTGTAAACCTTATGAGGACAGAGTCCATGTGTGTTTTATTGGTCAACACCCACATAGTCTGGCAAAAGGTTAGGCAAAATTAACTAATGGGATTAGGTCAAGTTGCTCTTTTATGACAAAAAATGGCTACATGGTTGGAGTCCTGTAAGAATAGTGCCCATGCCAAAGTCGGGCATGGTGGTGTATGGCTGTAATACCAGTGCTGGGAAGGCTGAGACAGGAGGATCACTGTGAGTCTGAGCTGTGTACCAAGACCCTGTACCAAATAAATAAATAAATAAATAAATAAGAACAGATGCTATTTCTTTTTGCCTTCCCAAATTCTGTGAGTTGTCTAGGACAATATTTCCAATGGAGGAAAAAAAAAAAAAAAAAAAAAAGCCTGTCCTGGAGACAGGACTTGAAATGCAATGTCTCCCACCTGTTTATCATTCATCTACTTATCATAATATAGACTATATCCTAGCTACACATAGATATGAGCAAAATCAAACATCTTCCCTTAAAGCATCTTTATTTTGATGTACAAGCTAAAATATATTCTATTTTCCTTTTGGTGGTTTGTTTGTTGAGACAGGGTCTTGTCTTGTAGTACAAGCTGGCCTTGAACTCACAGCAATCCTCTACCTTGGCCTCCAGAGTGCTAGGATTAAAGGCATTCTTTTTTATCTAACAAGTCATTATTTTTTTAGTTCGATGTCAAAAAGTAGGATCCAACACAATTTGAAACTGGCTTCAAATCCTGGTTCCACCACTATCTACTAGCTGTGTCACATGGCCTCTCTGTGCCTTACCTTTCTCTTCAGTAAGAATAAAGGTGATGCCCACTTTCTGGAATATCAGGCATAAGCAAATTAATATACATACATGGCCTCAATATCTGTTAGCACCTCAGAATATAAATATCCTGCACAGCGCAAGTCTTAGAGCCCAAATCCTTTTTGGCATTATAGAACAGATCAAAATAGGTTTGCCATTCAGCCCTCCAGTTGTGGCATGCACATTTCTTTAAAACACATTTCTTTAAACACATTTCTTTAAAACTATGGACATATCCATAATGCTAAGACTTGATATGATAAACAGGAGCTCTGTGGTAATGTGATCTTCGGTACTGTGACTTAATAAGTCTGAGTGAACACCAACAGATATTTTCAGAAGTAACAAGTTAATATTTTAGGAAGTGAATGCTAAAGCAGATAGCTGGTATATAAACACTAGAGCAATGACAGCAAAACTTTTACGGCTTTCAAAAAACAAAACAGCACAAAACAGCACAATAAAACAAACAGCACAATGCAGTACATGTGCCATAGGTTCACCACTACTGCACCAGATGCTAACTTCGTCATTGATATCTGTTTTTCACCAAAACAACTAAACACTGGTATTTGGTGTTTCACCAAAACACTGGTATTTCCTACTGATTTCACACTAAATTTTACAATTTTTTCAAACATATAGGTATATTCTTCTTTTTTCTTTTTTTCTTGGAACCAGGGATTGAACTCAGGCCCTTACACTTGCCAGGGAAGCGCTTATTCCACTGAGCCATCTCCCCGGCCCCCATGGTATATTCTTAAGAAAGTAAAATTGTGAACAAACAAATTCAACATATCTTTAAAAATTGCCACAAGGTATTTGTCTACCTAGGAGGTATATTACATCAGGAATCAAATATTACATTTACTCTAGTGTTGCGGGGTACATTTATAGTTCCAATTACTTTGGAGCCTGAGGCAAGAGAATCCTAAATTTGAGGCCAGTGTGGGCAACTTTGGAAGACCTTGTCTCAAAATAACAGTTAAAGAAAATAAAGCTCTGGAGGTGTGGTTCAGTGGTAGTGTGTCTACCAAGTGGGAGGCCATGGCTCAACCCCCAGGACCACAAAAGTTTGAATATGTAAATAAGAACAATGTCTTCTATTGAAATGACTCACAGCAATATGTTTATGATCATTAGTTGACAGTGATATTCTTTTTTTTTTTTTTTTTTTTGCAGAACCAAGGATTGAACTCAGGCCCTTGTGCTTGCCAGAGAAGCACTTATTCCACTGAGCCATCTCCCCAGCCCTGACAGTGATATTCTTTTAAAAATGCATTGGTCAACTGTAACAGAGTAGTCATTGTAAGTATGCACCGGAGATAAATAAATCCAAGAAATATGCTCTCTGCCCTCAAGGAGCCTGGTTTAGCTGATGAAACTTATATATTGTCCTACTGTGCTACACATAACAGATCTTTGCACTTGGCCATGCAAGGACCAAAGGATTCTATTTAGGGTGAGGGTCAGGGAGGGACCTGAGAGAATTATTGAGAAAACCCTTGAACTAGGTCCACAGGATAAGCAAAAAATATTCTTCAGTGACATGAAGAAGGACCAGGGCAAACGTAGAAAGACTGGAAAATAAAATTCGGGTAAGAGAGAGGCAGATAAGGTTGGAGGACAAGTAGCACCGGACATCACAAGTTGTGTACCTTACAAAGTAGAGAAGCCATAGAAAAATCCCAATGAGGGTACATGAAGTGATAGGTTTATACTTCCCAAGATTTGTGGCTTTGTACTCTACAACTCCCACCAGAGGGCTGTCCTCTCTCACCAGGGGTCCTCACTCAAATGCTTCCTCAGCATTCACAGACAACTTGCCCCCTTTTCCCACCCACGGTCAGTCACTCGTTCCGTCGCGCGATTCCGCCCCACCTCTGAGCGCCCCTGTGGTCTGACTTCGGCAGCACTTTCCGGCAGCAGACTGGGCATTCGCGGTCACCGCGGTGGCCTTCCTCAACGTGATCGGAGCATCCTTCCGGAGGCTGACAGGCCTGAGCTTCGGGGTGACCATCGCATTTGCCTCAGTGTTCTTCTCTCGTGAGGGGAAAGGCCCGGCTCTCAGACCACAGGTAGCTAGACGTTAAGTGGCAGACGCCGGGAGAGAGCTGGCGCAGGGCGGACCCCAGCACCCCTAGGGATAGGGACGAACGCCGCCGGCTCTACCCAGAGACTAGAACGGGTGAACGAGCGGGGTAAGCCGGGCAGTGGGCGGGGCGGCTCACCGGTAAAAGGCAGAGTCTCCGAGCGGGTTCCAGTTCGCTGTGTAGCAATCCATAGCTGGTGCAGGCAGCAGCTAGGTAGAGCGAGGAGAACTTCAGGGTGGCGCGGCCTCCAGGCCGGCACTTCCGCTTCCGCCCGTCCGGGTCATGTGACGAGGCCGCCAGGGCAGCCATCACTACTGTGGGCAGCTACACTTGGCCGTTGCAGTACTCCCACCAGTACCCGGGCTTCGCCCCACTTTGGGAGGCCTAGTCCCAGTCTTGCCCCTGTGGTGGCAAACCTTTCCTGCCCCTTTCGGCGTTGAGGGGTCGAGAAGGGCGGGTCATGGGTGACCGGAAGTGGGAGCTGTAAGCTTTGTTGCCCCGAGGGCCGAGGCCCGAGGCGCCGTCGTCGGGCCACTGCGACGCACGCATGGAGACCAATGGGCGTCGGGCTGCGCACCGACAGCTAGCCGGGGCGCATGGGCTCTGTGGAGCAGGAGCTTTGCAGAACCGACTGGCCTCTCGGGGCGCGGGAACATGAGGCTTAACCAGGTGCCCTCTGCGGGCGACGCTCGCCGTTCGCGGTCCTGGCCTGCTCGCTGGTGAAGGGCGCGGAGCCCCAGGACCCGGTAAACGGCGCGAGCGGGCGTGCGCGCATGCGCGGGGCGGCGGCGGGCACGTGGCGGGGCGCCGGTCCGCGCCGCGCGGGAAACGTCACGGCTCCTTGCAGGCCTGCTCGCGCGGCGACACCCAGCCTGAGGCGCGGAGTGTGACCAGGGCCGGCGCTGCCATGGGCTGCCTTCTGCCTCAGCTACCTACCTCTTCCCTGTAACCCTGAGCTTCTCGGAGAGGACTTGCGCAGGTCTCATCGCAGGGTGGGCCCTGAGTCCGACCTGCCCTGTGTCCCCGCCCTTGAGCGGTTTAGTGGCTTCTCCCTGCAGCCCGTTGGTGTCCGTGGCAGCATGGTCTTCTGTCTGGAAAACGAGGTGCCGCGCCGTCCGCAGCGAAGCGCCATGGTTCCCTTCCAAGCCTCAGAAGTCCAGCAGCTGCTACACAACAAGTTCGTGGTCATCTTGGGGGACTCCAGTGAGTGCCCCTTCTAGGATGACACGTCCCAGTCTTGCATCTGCAACCTGTTCTCTGTCTGCACCCTTTGTCTCCATCTGAAACTTCTGGGGCCCTTAGCCTGTTCCAGTCCAGTAGATTTTCCCTTTTTTTTTTTTTTTTTTTGGGCACACCTTCTCTAGGCATGCTGACTGATGCAACTTGTGCCCTTTTTCACCTATTCTTGTTTGTCTCTTTATCTCTTCTTCACAATCCCAATAATTTCCCAGAAAGCTGTGGATTGTGTTGTGTGTATTCTAGGTGACTTGCTAACTTAATTCTACCAGATTTTCTTGGTCCCTGTATACTGAGTTGGTAGAGAGGGACACAGAAGAAACAGAGATAGTGCTAGTAAAAGTTATTTTAACCTCACCTATCTCCTTCTCTAAGGCAACACACCAATCTGGTATTAGGCAGTACAGCCCTCAGAAAGATGAGAGGCTTGGATTGGAAGGAGTTAGGATGGGATAAGATCTGTTTCAGACTTGGGTTCTCTATTTCCTTGCAGTCCAGAGAGCTGTGTATAAGGACCTGGTGCTTCTGCTCCAGAAAGACTCACTGCTCACAGTTGCCCAGTTGAAAGCCAAGGTGAGGGAAGCTTGGCAGCCATGCTAGTGGTGGATGGGTACAGCCCCTGGCCTGGCAGGGTCCACCACTCTGGCATGGGTCTGACAGTGGGTTCGGGGGGGTGGGCAGGGGGAGCTGAGCTTTGAACAGGACCAGCTGGTGGCTGGGGGCCAGCTGGGTGAGCTGCATAACGGGACACAGTATCGTGAAGTCCGACAGTTCTGCTCGGGTTCTGGCCACCACCTTGTGCGCTTCTACTTCCTCACCCGAGTTTACTCTGAGTACCTGGAAGACATCCTGGAGGAGCTGACATATGGGCCTGCCCCGGACCTGGTGATCATCAACTCTTGTCTTTGGGATCTCTCCAGGTTGGCATGGGAGAGAGGGAAGTTCTGGTTGGAGGTGGAGGTATTACTCCAGCCTGGTGCTCCTATCCACCCTATGTGTTACCCAACAGGTATGGCCGCTGCTCAATGGAGAGCTACAGAGAAAACCTGGAACGAGTGTTCGTACGCATGGACCAAGTGTTGCCAGACTCCTGTCTGCTGGTGTGGAACATGGCAATGCCCCTGGGGGAGCGTGTCACTGGGGGTTTTCTGCTACCAGAGGCAAGTGACAGGTCCCCTTGGACAGGGATGGGAAATTGGCTGGTAGGTAGGGGATCCTCTTAGAAGCTGCATTCTCTCACTCAGCTCCAGCCCCTGGCAGCCACTTTGCGACGGGATGTGGTTGAGGGGAACTTCTATAGTGCTACACTGGCTGGGGACCACTACTTCGATGTTCTGGATCTCCACTTTCATTTCCGGCATGCAGTACAGCACCGTCATCGCGATGGTGTCCACTGGGACCAACATGCACACCGCCACCTCTCACACTTGCTTCTGACTCACGTGGCCGACGCCTGGGGCGTGGAGCTTCCCAAGCGGAACTATTCCCCTGGTGAGCCCTACCACAAAGGGGGTCGGGAAGTGATACAGAGGGCCCTTGGCACACAAAGCTTAGGAACAGAACACAACAGAAGTACTCACAAAATACAGGTGTT